CCTCACTGCAATCTTTAAAGGTCGTTTTCTCCAAATTAGTTTTTGTCTCCTACTCTGAGTTCGACATTTCAACTTCAGTAGCACGTACATACACCAAACCTTCCAGTTATATTCCTATCAATATTATGAAGGCTTTTCCAGAAGGGTTTGTTCATATATAATTCATAGCCTGAATTATACAACATTGTATACCTAAAAACATGGCGAAAATGGATATTTTAGGGCTGTTGACAGTATTTTCTGATTTATGGAGTGATAAAAAAGAGATATCCAATATCCCTTCTGTAAAAGCCTTAGATGCTAATATGACTACAAAATGAAACAAGAATTTTGAATCTGGCTATATCCAAAGTTCAGATTTCGATTCCTGAAATGTGTTAAAATCGGTGCATATTTAATGAGATAATGGATAATTTGCATATTTAAACATGCTATTTCAGAAAACTTGTAATACAAAAGACAATTGCCTTATTGTAAGTAATTAACTGGAGACATTTCTAGCTGATACCTTTAAGTTAAAAATATTACCCTATTCACCTGGGGTGTCTCGCCTTAATTTTCATGACTTTTTTATCCTAATTTCGACTTTTCTATTTCATAATGATGTCTTTATATTTTATAATAATAACTGTTTAATCTCATGATTATGACTGTCATCTCATATGTTTGACTTTTTATCTCATCATTTACAAAGTTAATTCATAAATATGAATTTGATAATTATGATATCTTAATTATGAATTTTTATCCCATAGTTACAAGTTTTTCTTTAAATTCCATTTTAAATTCTCGTAATTTAAAAAAGTAAAATAAATCGGTATAATGTTTAACGACTGCAAAAAAACGTTTCTCTAAATAAAAACACTTTTTGGAGAAAATGTTTTTTAAATATATATATTGTGCTGCCTATGACAGGAAAAAAGCATTGCAAAGACTTGTAATAGTAGTATTTGATTCTGTGTGTCCTGCCCTGTAGATTAGAGGCAGCTGTGCAGCACTTTAGGTCCTGCGGGACAGCAGGGGGCCAGTACTACCTCTGGTCGGAGAGATTCCCCTCCCTCAACCAGCTGGTGGAGATATACCAACACACATCCATCTCCAAGCAGACCAAGGTGTTCCTGCTGGAGGACCGGAACCCAGGTAGGAACAGATAGAGCAGAAGTACAGATACTCGGTGTTTTAAAATACTCTGGTGAAAGTAGAAGTACTGACTAAAACTTCTTTACTCAAGTCAAAGTAAAGAACTTTGAAATGTACTTCAGTCAAAAGTACCCATAACTAGCAGCTGTTTTAAAGAGTACCCGGACCCCTTCCTTATATTAATAGAACAATAATGTCATTGTTAGCTAATGAATGTTTCCATGCTGAACAACGGCAACATGACAACGTTTCCATTGGTCCCTCTTCTTTAGAGAAGACCAGGAAATGATGGATACACGGATCGTGTTCAAATCAATAGGCACGCAATGACTCTAAAGAATAATGATCACGCATCAAACACACATTCAGACTAAAGGAACCAGCTGTTTGGGAAATGAGAGAAGTAGAAAGTACAGGTATTTGAGTTCAACATGTAAGAAGTAGAAGTACAGGTATTTGAGTTCACATGTAAGAAGTAGAAAGTACAGGTATTTGGGTTCAACATGTAAGAAGTAGAAAGTAAAGGTATTTGTGGTTCAACATGTAAGAAGTAGAAAGTACAGGTATTTGAGTTCAACATGTAAGAAGTAGAAAGTACAGGGTATTTGGGTTCAGCATGTAGAAGTAGAAAGTACAGGTATTTGAGTTCAACATGTAAGAAGTAGAAACTAAAGGTTTTGGGTTCAACTGTAAGAAGTCGAAAGTAAAGGTATTTGGGTTCAACATGTAAGAAGTAGAAAGTAAAGGTATTTGGGTTCAACATGTAAGAAGTAGAAGAAGTACAGGTATTTGTGTTCAACATGTAAGAAGTAGAAAGTAAGGTATTTGGGTTCAACATGTAAGAAGTAGAAAGTACAGGTATTTGAGTTCAACATGTAAGAAGTAGAAAGTACAGGTATTTGAGTTCAACATGTAAGAAGTAGAAAGTAAAGGTATTTGGGTTCAACATGTAAGAAGTAGAAAGTAAAGGTATTTGGGTTCAACATGTAAGAAGTAGAAAGTACAGGTATTTGGGTTCAGCATGTAAGAAGTAGAAAGTACAGGTATTTGAGTTCAACATGTAAGAAGTAGAAAGTACAGGTATTTGAGTTCAACACATGTAAGAAGTAGAAAGGTAAAGGTATTTTGGGTTCAACATGTAAGAAGTAGAAAGTAAAGGTATTTGGGTTCAACAGGTTAAGAAGTAGAAAGTAAAGGTATTTGGGTTCAACATGTAAGAAGTAGAAAGTACAGGATTTGAGTTCAACATGTAAGAAGTAGAAAGTACAGGTATTTGAGTTCAACATGTAAGAAGTAGAAAAGTAAAGGTATTTGGGTTCAACATGTAAGAAGTAGAAAGTACAGGTATTTGGGTTCAACATGTAAGAAGTAGAAAGTACAGGTATTTGAGTTCAACATGTAAGAAGTAGAAAGTAAAGGTATTTGGGTTCAACATGTAAGAAGTAGAAAGTAAAGGTATTTGGGTTCAAACATGTAAGAAGTAGAAAGTACAGGTATTTGAGTTCAACATGTAAGAAAGTAGAAAGTACAGGTATTTGAGTTCAACATGTAAGAAGTAGAAAAAGTAAAGGTATTTGGGGTTCAACATGTAAGAAGTAGAAAGTACAGGTATTAGTGTTATCAACATGTGAGAAAGTAGAAAGTACAGGGTATTTGTGTTCAACATGTAAGAAGTAGAAAGTACAGGTATTGAGTTCAACATGTAAGAAGTAGAAAGTACAGGTATTTGGGTTCAACATGTAAGAAGTAGAAAGTACAGGTATTTGAGTTCAACAATGTAAGAAGTAGAAAAGTACAGGTATTTGAGTTCAACATGTAAGAAGTAGAAAGTAAAGGTATTTGGGTTTCAACATGTAAGAAGTAGAAAGTACAGGTATTTGGGTTCAACATGTAAGAAGTAGAAAGTACAGGTATTTGAGTTCAACATGTAAGAAGTAGAAAGTACAGGTATTTGAGTTCAACATGTAAGAAGTAGAAAGTACAGGTATTTGAGTTCAACATGTAAGAAGTAGAAAAGTACAGGTATTTGGGTTCAACATGTAAGAAGTAGAAAGTACAGGTATTTGAGTTCAACATGTAAGAAGTAGAAAGTACAGGTATTTGGGTTCAACATGTAAGAAGTAGAAAGTACAGGTATTTGAGTTCAACATGTAAGAAGTAGAAAGTACAGGTATTTGAGTTCAACATGTAAGAAGTAGAAAGTAAAGGTATTTGGGTTCAACATGTGAGAAGTAGAAAGTAAAGGTATTTGGGTTCAACATGTAAGAAGTAGAAAGTACAGGTATTTGTGTTCAACATGTAAGAAGTAGAAAGTACAGGTATTAGTGTTCAACATGTGAGAAGTAGAAAGTACAGGTATTTGTGTTCAACATGTAAGAAGTAGAAAGTACAGGTATTAGAGTTCAACCTGTAAGAAGTAGAAAGTAAAGGTATTTGTGTTCAACATGTAAGAAGTAGAAAGTACAGGTATTTGGGTTCAACATGAGAGAAGTAGAAAGTATAGGTATTTGAGTTCAACATGTAAGAAGTAGAAAGTACAGGTATTTGTGTTCAACATGTAAGAAGTAGAAAGTATAGGTATTTGTGTTCAACATGTAAGAAGTAGAAAGTACAGGTATTTGTGTTCAACATGTAAGAAGTAGAAAGTACAGGTATTAGTGTTCAACATGTGAGAAGTAGAAAGTACAGGTATTTGTGTTCAACATGTAAGAAGTAGAAAGTACAGGTATTTGTGTTCAACATGTGAGAAGTAGAAAGTACAGGTATTAGTGTTCAACATGTGAGAAGTAGAAGTACAGGTATTTGAGTTCAACATGAAAAGAAGTAGACAGTACAAGTATTTGAGTTCAAACATGTAAGAAGTAGAAAGTAAAGGTTATTTGGGTTCAACATGTAAGAAGTAGAAAGTACAGGTATTTGAGTTCAACATGTAAGAAGTAGAAAGTAAAGGTATTTGGGTTCAACATGTAAGAAGTAGAAAGTACAGGTATTAGTGTTCAACATGTGAGAAGTAGAAAGTACAGGTATTTGTGTTCGACATGTAAGAAGTAGAAAGTACAGGTATTAGAGTTCAACCTGTAAGAAGTAGAAAGTAAAGGTATTTGTGTTCAACATGTAAGAAGTAGAAAGTACAGGTATTTGGGTTCAACATGAGAGAAGTAGAAAGTACAGGTATTTGAGTTCAACATGTAAGAAGTAGAAAGTACAGGTATTTGTGTTCAACATGTAAGAAGTAGAAAGTACAGGTATTTGTGTTCAACATGTAAGAAGTAGAAAGTACAGGTATTTGTGTTCAACATGTAAGAAGTAGAAAGTACAGGTATTAGTGTTCAACATGTGAGAAGTAGAAAGTACAGGTATTTGGGTTCAACATGTAAGAAGTAGAAAGTACAGGTATTTGTGTTCAACATGTAAGAAGTAGAAAGTACAGGTATTTGTGTTCAACATGTGAGAAGTAGAAAGTACAGGTATTTGTGTTCAACATGTGAGAAGTAGAAAGTACAGGTATTAGTGTTCAACATGTGAGAAGTAGAAAGTACAGGTATTAGTGTTCAACATGTGAGAAGTAGAAAGTACAGGTATTAGTGTTCAACATGTGAGAAGTAGAAAGTACAGGTATTAGTGTTCAACATGTAAGAAGTAGAAAGTACAGGTATTAGTGTTCAACATGTGAGAAGTAGAAAGTACAGGTATTAGTGTTCAACATGTGAGAAGTAGAAAGTACAGGTATTTGTGTTCAACATGTAAGAAGTAGAAAGTACAGGTATTTGTGTTCAACATGTAAGAAGTAGAAAGTACAGGTATTTGAGTTCAACATGTAAGAAGTAGAAAGTACAGGTATTTGTGTTCAACATGTAAGAAGTAGAAAGTACAGGTATTAGTGTTCAACATGTGAGAAGTAGAAAGTACAGGTATTTGGGTTCAACATGTAAGAAGTAGAAAGTACAGGTATTTGGGTTCAACATGTAAGAAGTAGAAAGTACAGGTATTTGAGTTCAACATGTAAGAAGTAGAAAGTAAAGGTATTTGGGTTCAACATGTAAGAAGTAGAAAGTACAGGTATTTGTGTTCAACATGTAAGAAGTAGAAAGTACAGGTATTTGTGTTCAACATGTGAGAAGTAGAAAGTACAGGTATTTGTGTTCAACATGTAAGAAGTAGAAAGTACAGGTATTAGTGTTCAACATGTGAGAAGTAGAAAGTACAGGTATTTGGGTTCAACATGTAAGAAGTAGAAAGTAAAGGTATTTGGGTTCAACATGTAAGAAGTAGAAAGTACAGGTATTTGAGTTCAACATGTAAGAAGTAGAAAGTACAGGTATTTGAGTTCAACATGTGAGAAGTAGAAAGTACAGGTATTTGTGTTCAACATGTGAGAAGTAGAAAGTACAGGTATTTGTGTTCAACATGTGAGAAGTAGAAAGTACAGGTATTTGTGTTCAACATGTAAGAAGTAGAAAGTACAGGTATTTGTGTTCAACATGTGAGAAGTCAAAGTAAAAAGTCGTCAGAAAAATAAGTAGTGGAGTAAAGTACTAATACCAGATAAATATACTTAAGTACAGGAACGCAGTATTTGTACTTCCCACCTCTGATGGTCACCTTCGAATGAAAACTAACAATATATAATATATATACTTATTGTTATGTACTAAGGAGGGATTTGAACAGAAACTTCCTTTAGTATTGAAACAGAGTCGTAGCAATTGATTTCAAATTAGGATTGTGATTCAATAATTGAAATGATATATACAGAAGGGGATTATGTGTGCAACATCTATGTGAGTTTAGTCAGGATTTTTAGATTAAAGTCAGATTTGCATTATTTTATACACAAATATATAAAGACAGTAAACAGAAGTACTAAATGAAATCCATATAAAGTAGTGTATTTTATTGTTTTGTCTCAACAGCAACGAAGGGGCTCAGAAGATGTTCTTCCTTCCCAGCGTCCTCTGCCACCTCCTCCCTCCTCCGACTGCCCACCTGCATCTGCACCCGTGGCACCACGACAGGGTGTGTGTGTGTGTGTGTGTGTGTGTGTGTGTGTGTGTGTGTGTGTGTGTGTGTGTGTGTGTGTGTGTGTGTGTGTGTGTGTGTGTGTGTGTGTGTGTGTGTGTGTTGTGTGTGTGTGTGTGTACATGGCAGCATAATGAATTTGAACTGCTGTACCTCGGTATCAGTTTTATTCAGAATTCTGCCAGTTGTTGCCTAACTTTTTCAGGGAATTATGGAGTTGAGGACATTCAGGAATTAAACACAAGTCATACAGAGGAGACTGGTGAATTGCTTAGGCCACCTGGGCAGTAGACAGGAGGTGAACCGGTGCTCTCCAGTTCCAAAGTCCATGTAAATTGCCCATAAGAGAAGTTGATCGTGGTTGCAGCTGTAATATTGTACCTGAATGACTTTGAGTGTGTGTGTGTGTGTGTGTGCGCGCGTGCGTGCGTGTGTGTGTGTGTGTGTGTGTGTGTGTGTGTGTGTGTGTGTGTGTGTGTGTGTGTGGGTGTGTGTTGTGTGTGTGGTGTGTGTGTGTGTGTGTGTGTGTGGTGTGTGTGTGTGTGTGTGTTGTGTGTGTGGTGTGTGTTGTGTGTGTGTGTGTGTGTGTGTGTGTGTGCAGGTCAGAGCTCTGTACACTTTCGAGGCAGAGGAGCCGGACGAGTTGGAGTTTAACACCGGAGACGTGATCTCGGTGCTGGAGAGCTCTGACCCGACCTGGTGGAGAGGAGCTCTGAGGGGGAAGAGTGGCCTGTTCCCCTCCAACCACACCACCCCCCTCTGACACACACACACACACACACACACACACACACACACACACACACACACACACACACACACACACACACACACACACACACTATATATAAGTTCTAACATTTATAACTACGTACATCAAAACGCTGTTCACAAGTGAATAGTGTGAAGGAGTTTTTTGTATAGGGATGAAGCTAAAGATCGTGATCACATGAATCAAAACGTTTTGGAAATCTCACACTGTAAATCAAAAGACGCCACTTCATGTCATTGATAAACCCATTCAATAAAAGTAGTTTGTTATATATGAGTGTATGATAAAACAATCCAGACATGTTGTATTGTTGTAATTTAAGAACCTTTAAATGTGCTGCTTATATCCTGAATCAATGCAGATGTACCAGCGATGGTTGAGATACTGAAAAGGGAAGAGCAGAATACAAAATATACCACATTTTCAAACTCATGGGCGTACATGTTAATGCTGTATATGTATTACTCTATAGTGAGTAATGAACATTTACTTGTTAGGACCCAGTGCAGTCTAGTGTCTGCCCTTCTTACTGCAGTTTTAACATACGAAATTGTGTGGTTTCAAATAGGCTAGATTTAGTTTTACTTTCAGCTGTGTCGTTGTTGTTGCTTTTGTTGCTTTTAAATTGTCTATTGTGTTAACTTGTACTTGTTTCATGGTGTGTGAGTTGTGCTGTGTGATTTTGTTGTATGTTTTGTTTGTTTATTTGACTGTGCATCACTTTGGTCTGGAGGTTTTAAAGTGCTTTATAAATAAAGCTGTTTGCATTGTATTTGCAGAAAGGAGTTAAAAACTAACTGCAGTTTAGCATCAAAGCAGACACAGCTGGAAAGGTGACGTACTCAGTGGCGTTTTTATATGTACGAAGGTGGTGGGGCACGAACAACTTAGATGTGTGTATACAAGCTTCTGGGGCTTTTTTAAACAAGTAAACAAATAGCTGTAGGCCAGGGGTGCCCAACCTTATTTGAACCGAGAGCTACTTTTAAAGTTGCCAGTCTGCCGAGATCTACCAGTCCAAATAGAGAGGCGTAGTTACTGACAGCCTACTACCAGGTAAATACACACTTCTACTTGTATAAAACTGACCTTTGTACGATTAATACCTCGTAAAATACTGCAGATCCTTTATTTTACCTCTTTCTAATCTACACACATACAAGTATTTAACTGAAGTTACACAACAGTGTTGTTGATACAGAGTTGGAGTTTATTCAAACGTCACTACAGTGAGTAATGTTTTCAAGAAGCATTGAACAGTGCTGCCACATATGACACAGGGAAAAAGAAAATACTCTGAACCCTTTCTTTGCCATTAAAATGAGGCTTACTAATAAGATGACTCAGATCTGAAGCTGCTCAGGAATCTGCTGCCAAAGTGCAATACAAAAGACAACATTAATAAAATCAAACCATTTTTTTGTTGCATTTTAGTAGATTATAAAAAGAAATGCCTTTAAAATAGGATGCAAGCAACACTAGCTTCTTAACCTGAATTGATAATAGACTATAATCAATTTAAGTTTGCATTCTTATACCATTTTGTACAATAATTATAATGAATAAGTTCAAACAAACTAAAACTTACAGCTGATTAATAACGGTATCCAACTTGAGTTTTTATTATATCAAAAACCTGTTGAAATGCTTCTGTTATTTTTACTGTCCCCAAAAAGCGCGTCGGCAGCCTCCAGGAAAGCTTCTTTCACAACTTCGCCGTCTTTGAAAGACTTAATGTGTTTCTCAAGAACGTGCCTGACACGATAAGATGCTCTGGTAGCAGCCTTGCTCTTGTTGTCGGGCCTGGTGAAAATGGACTGCTGTGCATTTAGCTGTCCTTTCAGGCCCCTCCCCTTTTGGAGCGTAGGGCAGAATTAGGAGGGAGTTCCGTCTCGTAGCGTTTGTGCACTGTTTTGAAATGCCGCTCCTAAATTACCCTTCTTCGATAAAGCCACGCTCACATTGCAGATGAGACAGATGGACTTTGAATTGGATTAGATATAAAAAATAAAATAATCATCCTCCCACTCGGAGTGACAATTATATATTTTGGGCTTTTTTGCTTCTGCCATAATTGCGGTCTTGTGTGTGTGCGGACTGTCACTCCTGTTGACACGGACAACGTTAGCGAAATAGTGCCCACTGACCACCAGCCACGCCCCCACACATGGGGTCACGCCGGCCAATCACAAAGCTTTGGTGCGTTCAAGTGCATTATTCTGGCACGGGAAGATTATGTTATAGGACATTAACGATAAAACTGAATATTGTTGTTCTATTTTTAGACACATCTCGTGATCGACTGGGAATCTCCCCGCGATCGACCGGTCAACTTCAATCATTTTCTTTCCGTTTTACTGATTTTAATCGCTATACGCTGCTCTCTCGTCTCCTCTTCACATCTAAACTTTTCACAGAACTCGTATTTACAGCCAATCAGCTCTCTGATTTAAGAGATGACGTTTGGTGAGTATGGCAGCACAGTGCCCCTATGGTGATTATTTTTGTGCCGCACACATTGAATAGAAAAACACTCTGAGCATGCGCAGTGTAGTTTTTACAGCACACGTTCATTTTAACCGCAGAGAGAGGGGCTTGATCGGGGCTTGCCCCACGTTGCTCACACGGCTCAATAGGCACACTGTAGACACTAGTTAGAAGACTGCAGACTAAAACAGCAATGTACAGACGAATCAGACGACTTGTTAGCAGATTTAGTCTTAAACCTTTTTGTCTCCTGCAGCAGAAAGGTGAATAATCTCAGCAGTTCAAGTTTAGCCATTCATCACGGCGTTATTCATTATAGGCACACATCTCAAGAGGCTTGAGGACAGAGAGAGAAGGGTGACTTCCAACGGTCTTATACCCCAGGTAGTGACATCACAATCATGTTGTACAGCGCTAACCAATGAACACAGAAGTCGCAGCTACTTACATAGACAATATGGTACACAGTAATACATGGAGTCATACAAGCCTGTATGTTATATCTCAACACTCCAACTTATGAATTATGTGCTTACTGTTTACCTGTTCATATCTAATCAACAAAACAAAAACATGGTACAAATGATTTAAATGTGGGCTTCTTCCACACATTTTACACACCAAACATGATCCCTTCAAATGTCCTCAGCTTCAGTTTGGAAGCAGGCTTGGTCATCACATCTGCAACCATTTCGTCTGTAGGACAATAAACCAGTGTCATCTTTCCCTGCCTTATGGTGGACCTAATGAAGTGGTACTTAATATCCACGTGTTTACACCTTTGTCTACACACAGGATTTTTAGCAAGGGCTATTGTCCCCTGATTGTCCTCGTTTACAACTCTTTTCTTATACACATATGTGTCTATCCCTTCCAGTAGCTGCTCCAAGTAAATACACTCCTGTATTAATAGAGCTAGAGCCATATACTCAGCTTCACATGTGGAAAGCGCTACTGTAGGCTGTTTCTTGGTTTTCAAAGAGACTAGTGAGCTGTCCTTACTCATGCTCACACAATACCCTGTCATACTGCGTCTATCTGTTTTATCTGCAGCCCAATCAGCGTCACTATAAGCCTGCAGGCCTAGTTTCTCAATGCTCTTTCTGAAACAAAGCGGCTTGTCTGCAGTACCCCTGAGATAACAAAACGTGTTTTACTGTAACCCAATGTTCATCAAATATTGTTATAACTTGCTTACCACGAAACATAGGTCTGCACGTGTACAGGTAGTCAAATAGATTAGGCTGCCAACAGCCTCTCTGTATTTCTTCACATCCACCATTTTAGGTGCATCTTCAGTGTAATCTAACTTTTGGTCACAAGGTGTGTCCCTTACCCTACACTCCTGCATGTCAAAACGTTCCAGTATCTTTTCCACGTATCTCTTTTGTGATACTTTCACACAGCCGTCAGACTGACTGAAATCCATGCCCAGAAAATGATTTAATCTCCCTAAATCCTTCATTTTAAATTTTGTGGAAAGCATGTTTTTCACTTTCTCTAAAATCTTGGTGTTGCTGGCTGTGATGATAAGATCATCGACCCAGATAGCAATTATGACTTTCCCCTCTTTAGACTCCTTGGAGTACACGCAGTGGTCTGCCGGGTTCTGTGTGAAATTGTCATCTGTTAAGCATTCATGCAACATCGTATTCCAATTTCGCCCTGACTGCTTCAGGCCGTATTGACTTCTCTAGCTTACACACTAGCTTTCCTCCCTCCTTTACATAACCCTCAGGTTGTTCCATGTAAATGTCGTGATCGATGGGTGCATGCAGGTAGGCTGTCTTTACATCCATCTGGTGTAAAATAAAATCCTCTTGGGCTGCCTTCTGCATTAATTCACGTACACTTGTCAGGTTGGCTGTAGATGAGAACGTCTCTCCGTAATCTATCCCCGCCCTCTGACTGTATCCTTTTGCTACGAACCTAGCTTTGTACTTGTCGTGTCCGTCAACGTCTCCTTTAACTGAATAGACCCATTTACCTCCCACTGTTTTCCTGCCCTCTGGCAATTTTGTCAGGGTAAAAGTCTGATTGTCTTCTAGAGACTTAATTTCCTCATCCATCGCTTTTCCCCAGGTTTCTGACTCGGTCGATGTCATGGCCTCTTTAAAGGTCAGAGGTACACTGCAAACTGCTCTGTAACAATAATCTATACTAGTGAGTGTTTTATCCTCTTCATCACTATCTTCCTGAGTATAATCTCTAAAGTACTCAAGGTTTGCGCTCCCTACTGGGATATCTCCCACTCTCTGAGGCATGTGACTCCACCCTAGGGTGCTGTTCGCCATCATCCTCTGGTGCTGACTGTGGAGCGTTAGCTTGTACATCTTTGCTCAGTATAGGCTGTGGGGCCTTTACTCCCTCTTCACAGTCTTCGTCCGAATCCTGTTCTAACCACTGTGTCTGAGTCTCGCTATCACAAGTTGTGCTGGTGATAAACTTTACTAGTCTGTGCTTCTGAACCTTCTCTTTGTCGGGGTAGTAAACTAGATAGGCGG